GTGAACTATCATGGGGGACGGGGTGTTAGAGGATTTTCGTGGAAGAGATTGTGCCTTTGTGGCCAATTGGTTACGAGGAAAGGACTTAAACAAGCTTTGTGTCGTATTTGAAAGTATTTGAATTTTTATACAACTACAAGAGAAATTTCTGTAATTTGATTGGCTTAGAGCAGTGGTATTTAAGCTTAATTTGAAATACCTACATGTGAAAATTACAAACCTTTTTCGGGTAGTAGTATAAACAAATAACAGCTTGATTTGTACGTGATATTTGGCATAAACACCACTTGTGATATTTGAAAATTGTTTCAAATTTCACTCGCCTAACGGCTCGTGAAATTACGTATAACAATTTTGAAATATCACTCGTGGTATTTATGCCAAATATCACAACAAATAATGCTATTACCTATACTAATATTTTTATTATTGGATTCAGGCTTTGAATATATGAGTAATGAAATACCTAATGAAATACCTAAATACCTATATCGGCGATTCAATACAACAAAAAAACGCTCAACGGAGGTCAACCGCATGTATTTTTTAAAATTAATAAAGTGAGCGATGATGCATGTCAGTGGAATGGTCATGATGTAGTAATCTCAATAGGTGGGATTTGTTTTTATATAGAAAGCTTTGTACATTGCATGACACACGAAGAAAAGCTGAGCATTCAGTGACCTTGTTGCAGGGATTTCCGCCGCTTTGCGCGAGACTTTTGTTCGTGGTAAATAGGCTAACAGTGTCTCTCAGTTTTTGCTATATTGAATGCGAATTATTTGCTGTACTTATGATTTTGTTCGACAACTGAAGGCGTTTCTGCCGTCCTTCTGTCATCTATGTGCCTGTGAAATGTCCCCGGGGTGGGGGCATTTGATCACCCGAATGGACCCTAGTGTGGGGCATTTGAACGGCGTTTTGGCCCTGGTAGGGGGGAGGGGTGGGGGGTGATTTGTATAGGTAATAGCATGATTTGTAGTGATATTTGGCATAAATACCACGAGTGATATTTCAAAATTGTTATACGTAATTTCACGAGCCGTTAGGCGAGTGAAATTTGAGACAATTTGAAACATCACGAGTGGTATTTATGCCAAATATCACGTACAAATCATGCTATTATTTGTTTATACTACTACCCGCAAAAGGTTTGTAATTTTCACATGTAGGTATTTCAAATTAACCTGAAATACCACTGCTCTAAGCCAATCAGATTGCAGAAATTTCTCATGTAGTACTATAAGAACAATAATTTTCAAAAAAGTCAAATGCCCTGGAGGTTGCCCGGGGGATGTTGAAGCTTCGACTTGACCAATACATTATAAAGAGCCTAGAAAAAAGCTTTCTTTTGATTCAGAAGTCGATCACTTGGTAACCGAGCGTTCTCTTCGAATCGTGGAGCGCGGGCGCTGAGCGCTTGGAGTCAAGCGGATAAATGTTGGGCGGTGAAACGAGCGCTCCGCTCTTCATTTAATGTGTGATGCGGAGTAGGACTGTCACGAGCGCTCTTTCCGCGCTTCCGGTCCGCTTGAAGGCCGGCGAAATTTTCCTTTTTGCAAACCGGAAATCCTATTTTCTTTCTGTAATTTCAGGCTACGGTGTTAAATAGATAAATTCGTTTGATAGCTATATCAATAGACAGTTTCATATGTTTGTATTTGCATGCCTATAAGTCAAACTTGTTGGTCGTATAATGCCAAAATTTGAGTTTAATTTGAAAGTGTTGAATACCTCCTCCTTCCACTAAATATCACCTAATCGTCTTTCGCCGTTTCGTTTGCAAAAGCTTAACACTTCTTAACCTTTACATATGTTAAACGGGGATAAATTTTATATAACATAAAAAAAATTAGATTGATATATTTTGATAAAGTGGCGTTGTACTGCTTCAAACTTTGTTTCTCGGGTGCAAAGCGCCAAGGTTATTCAGTTCGCGCAATGAGTCGCAAATCCGGCAACCGCTTGTAAACAAAATTTATTGAGGTTAGTTGTAAGGTTTTTTCTCCGTTTTTCTCTCTAAAACAAAACAAGGTAAACAGTAAAAACTGAGGGGAAACTAATTTTGAAGTTTCGAAGAACCAGAAAGACATATGAGCTGTTTTTTTCAAAATTAAAAAGAAGGATGATGGTGATTGAAATTAGCAAAATTTCACCTAGACTTTCTCAAAGTCGTTCGCTTGGTTTTCTGGTCTTGGTTTTCTGGTCTGGTGTGGTAGGACCCGGCTCGACTTGTGAGCAAGTCTAAATTTCACCTTGCACGAGCTGCACGCATTTATAAAATACACGTCATCTAGATATGAAACACGATCTGCTGTCTTTTAGTTTTGCCATGGATGACATGAATGAGATTTTCCCTCGTTTTTTAGACAGTACTTAGTTCTTTTTGTTTTGGAATAACATCGTTTTGGCTAGTAGGAGAACGAAAATATAATTCAGTGGTAGAGTCAGGGAAGTAATAAGAGAAACCCTTTGAAAGAGATGTTTGTCTACGCCAACTAAACCTCCCGAAAAAAAACAGCAACGTTTGCCTCTCGGGGACGGCGTACCAGCACAAAGGAACGAGGAAGAAGCGCAAGAAAACAAATCAAGCCGCCATAATTCAGTGACAGCGGTAGTGTCTAATGGACAAACCACATCGCAAGCCCTGACCGAAGTCGAAAACAATCGACATTTCTAAGCAGAGTCCCAGTCCACTGCATCACACCTTTTTGCTCGGACGCGCTCGTTTCACCGCCCAACCTTTATCCGCCCTGCTTGGAGTATTCTATTAAAAAGTAACTGGGTGGGAATCACTTTGTTGGTTGCTAGGAAATGTGGGCTATTGACCAATCGTAGAGCCATTATTTATGGCTAAAGCGGAACAATAATATTCTTTAAATTTCCATTTGGGTGGTGGTTCATGTAAACCCGACTTTTGCAAAATCTTTTGTTCTCTACACGATTTTCACGTGCACCTCGTAAATTTGCATACACTGCACGTGCAGTTCGTGCCGAGAACAAAAGAAGTACTTAAAATCATCAACCGAACCAGAAAAACAGCAAACCTTCAAACAGAACAGAAGAATTTTGTTTGTATTAAGTAAAAGTCTGAGTAAAAAGGATACGTTTTATTTTAAATTAGTACGGAGCCACAGAAGCCGCTACATCGAACACAAATCGAGTTCCCAAAGGATATTTAATACACATTTATTCCGGACGAGATTACTTGTAGTTAATTTTCAAATCGTGGCATTCAATGTTTTAATAGATCATTTTCTTGGTTAGGATGAATTAAATCATGATTTGTCCATATACATCAAAGAAAAATATTGTTTACGCTCTCCGCTGTTTCAAACGGCATCGTCTCTCGTTCGTGATTTTATATGGACATTTTACTTCTTCCTTTCTGAATTGCAAGAACTCCGAAATGTCGGCAACGAGAAAGAAAAAAACAATAGGTTCGATAACAACAACTTTACCGTGCATCACGCTTTTTGTACATTTCTTCCAATCACTGTACGACTACGACGTAAGCATTCCTAATTTCAGGTTTTATGGAGGGGCGGAGTAAACACAAAACAACAATTTTCTTTTTCTTTTTGTGAGCTCAGATACAGTCCTATAGAATTCAACTACTGAAAAAATCGCAAACATTTGACAACTGATTAAAAGAGTCAGAATAAGAACGACGAATTATGAATCAGGGCAAATTTACTTTTTGGGTGACGTTTCTTCTGCCTTTTCTGATGCTTAAGCCGGGATTGAATCAGACTCTCTTGTGTATGGTGTGATTTTGGCGCATGACTTGTGTCACGCACAATGCAATCTAAAAGACCCCCAGCAGCTGGCACCCTTTGCTTCCTTAGTGGGATATGGTCACAGCCCAGTTTTGTTTCTACCCAGGGGTTGTTAGTAGAATACTCCACGCGCTAACCTGCAACCCAGGATTCGAAGAGAAGGCTCGGTTACCACGTTTTAATGAATGCAGATCGACTTCTGAATTTGGCTACAACATTTAATCAAAAATGCGGCGAAATCATATCTCGGGCTTGATTTGCTCATGCCCACTAGCTAGTAGTTAGCAAATGTAAATCACAGTAGAGTATTCGTGTGGACAAGTAAATTCGTGTTGACGCAAATATCGATCAAGTATGCAGTTTCAGCCTTTCTGATCCGGATTCATGTCTAGTGGACCTGGTTTAAAGGGAACCTCCACTTCAGCAAAAAGATAACTTTAAATCACAGGAAATAACTGTTACAGTCAAGTCAATCTAAAATATAAATAGAAAGCGTTTGTATCCGAAAGAAATAACTTTTAGATTCGCCTATTTTTGTTTTCAAATTTTGCGGGCGTCGCCATCTTGAATAATTGTGACGTGTAATGGTTGCCCTATTGTTATTAAACAAAAGCTCTTGGTGTGAGAACAATAGAGCAACCGTAACACGTCACAATTATTCAAGATGGCGGCGACCGCGAAATTTGAAAATGAAAATAAGCGATTTTAAAATTCACTTTTCCTGATATAAACACTTTTTTTTAAGACAAATTTCGAACAAATTTGTGTATCAACATAATTTTATTCGATTTAAACTTATTCTGTAGTAAGAGTGGAGGTTCCCTTTAAAGCTATTATCCGGGACGAAACAAACCGAGTATAACAAAAGAGTTCTGTTGTTCACATCGTTACCTGAACACTCGAAAAAATAATTTGGTCTAATCATCCACATACTATAGTTGCTGGCTAAGAATTTCTTCTTGTTTTACTGAAAGTACTAAGTTTAACACGCGCTACTTGGGAGGGGTGGGAAGGGAGTTGTTCTAACGGGATAAAGTGCATCAAACCTCCTGAATATTTCATATAATTTCAGACGTTTAAAAAATGAAATATTTTCAATATATTTTGTTCTTGGTGAGATTAATACAGCTGTATTGGCGTATTTTCATTTAATGACAAAACCTCCTTTCCTTTTATTTTGGGCTATCTCTATTGCACCTGCATCTTTGAGGTAAACTTTTTTGGGTATTTTTGCGACAGGTCCAAAAGATCCTAGGCCCCACGGATGTTCTTCCTGATATCATAGATCCGAGGCTAGTGCAAAAGACTGTCCGGGTCTTTCTGAGCTCAACCTTTACAGATACAAGGGTGGAGAGAAATGAACTCATGGAGGAAGTGTTTGAACCAGTTCAGGAGCTTTGTCAGCAACATGGTATTGCCTTTGAAGTAGTGGACCTGCGATGGGGTAAGACAGAGCAGTATCTATCAATAAGCTTTCTGTTTGTATTTTTGACAGAGAAGTAGTCATTCTTGGTAGTTTAGAATGTAAAATTAATCACTAAAGAAGTAAATTGAAAGTTTGGCATAATAGTGTTAGAAGTTTCTTAGCGAAAACAAAACTCTTCTGACCAACAAACACGAGGCTACTTTCTCTAGTAGTCTTGTTGATCTCTGTCTTCTATTCGTCTAGAGGAGAAGACTGAGATTTATTTCCTCAGCGGCCATTTTTCCATTTTAGAACTTAAAACGGTACCTTTTTTGCAACTGGAAAACAACGTTTTTTAAAACAAGGCAAGAGCTTGAGAAACTGGAACTAACAAGAAAACAACGCAGACAAGTGGTCCCCAATCAGTTTAATTCACTGATAAAGTCTCACGGAATAATCTTTCTTTTTCACGCACAATGACGCCGAAACATCCTTTTATAGTAAAAAGTAAAATCGAACTTCTTTTAGATCATTTCGTTCATTGGCTTTCAAATTGTAAGTCGAAATGCAGAGAATACTCCCTAAGATGGGTAGGGTGGGAGGCATGCAGTATCGTCAATCAAACTGACTACGGGCCGGCGGAAAGTCTAGTAATCTGATTCAGTTATTGCTCTTTATCCACCAGGGGTGCGCCAAGAGTCCGTGGATGATCACCGTATTGTAAATATCTGCATGGAAGAAATCAAACGTTGCCAGGAGAAATCACTTGCTATCGCCTTTATTGCCCTCTTAGGCGACAAATATGGCTGGAGACCTCTACCCCCGTCAGTCGAAGCTGACGAATTTGAAGCGCTTCTTCAGCTGATTGACCAATCAGACCGCGAACTGATCACTCGTTGGTATCTTCGTGACGACAACTCGGTTCCGCCTTGTTATTTGTTGCAACCAATCTCAACGCAGTTTCCCATCCACTCAGCAAATAAAGAGGGAATGTCAAATGCTTGGGCGGACTGGGGCAAAGTCGAGAAGAGGATCTGGAGTCATTTGCGGTCAGCGGCAGAGAAGGCTGGTCTGAAGGAAGAAGAGAAGCAAAAATACACAGTTTCCGTGACTCAACTGGAAGTGGAAAGGGGAGTGGTTACAGATCCCGAGGCAAGCCAACGTTCCCTTGTTATTGATCGAAGGTTTGATCAAATTAATGAAGAGGATAAAGAGGCGAGAAATTTCGTTAACATACAGGTAGGAGACCAATTTTGATATGTTTAAAACAAAAGACATTTGCTACTCATCCGTGAACGTTAAGGCGATTTCTTTTTATTTATTCCCCAAGCCTTGGTGCCCTGTGATGAATTTTGATATATCGAAATTATTTTTGGGCAGGCCGGTCATAGAAATTATTATTTCTACTTCCTTTACCCCGTGTGCACTTAGCACCTCCTTGGAATTTTTTTCACGATAACGTATTTTGCGTCCATGATTTGGATATTCAGTTTTACGTAAAATGTAATTTTTCGTCGACCCTAGATACTACTCCTCCTGCATTTGTGCGTGACCAATAGATATTATGTATATTGTGGAGCATTGTAAAGGTTATTGATCAGTATATTTGTTATTGCCCATTTCTTCATTAATTCTCATTGCTTTAGCCGTATTCCTGCTTCTTTAAACCTTACTGTATGTAAACATTACCGGTTTTACGCGATATGTATTTTTAATTACTGCTGAATTAGTCAAATTGCCTGCAGATTAACAATCGGATTTTTTTTCTGTCGCAGTGTCCTATCCCTTTTTCTCAACTGAAGTACGACATTGTTATTCATGAGAAGGTTACTAAAATTCGGACAAAGAGGTTACATAATATAGACAGTCGCTGACTCTGTTAACTCCTTAGGACGATGGAAGAAAAGACCCAGAATGCCTAGAACTGCTCTCGGAGTTGAAAGATAGTCGCATTCCATCTTCGCTGGAAGTTGGACGGATACTTAAGTTTACTAACTTACGATGGCATCACGAAGGACTTCATAAAGGCGAACATGGAGCGTACATCAAAGGTAAGAAGCCCTATCAGTGAAAAAGAACCATGAAGGACCACAACGGCCGACGTGGTGCAATAATGCGCGCTATTTCTAACTTGCAGAATGTGTCCATCCCTAGCAGTGTTGCGTGCCATATTGAACAGTAGTTCAATGTCTGTAGCATTGCAAAGAACAAATTTCATTGTGTATCTAAATTCTACGACACACGGTGCGCAACAACCATCGTCTTTGCCTTCTTCTTGAGACACCATATCCTCTCTAGCATACAACTCAGAGTAATGTTCTACTCAGCTTTCCATCTGTTTTGCTCGGTCCTGGATAATCTCCCCTGTAGCAGATTTTAAGGGGGCTGTTTTCTTCTGAGAAAAACCTAGTACCTGCTTGATTCCCACATTGGTTTTCGACTTAAAATAGACTTCCAGCCTGCTAGGCTAGCATTTACGCTTGTTGTCTCCTCTTCTGTCAACTTGAGATTTAAAAATATCTGCAGACAATCTTTTCCCATTACGGATCGTAGCGTCGCTAAGTGTATCGCCTCAGGCACAGGCAGCCCAAATTCTCGTTACGAGGAAAGGGTGTAAAGTAATTTACTTACCATAGGTGACGCGCAGACCTTTCTGCTAGACGCGTCGGTGTCGCGTTACAGGCGACCGTTGAAAATATGAGACTTTGTATGAGAAAAAAAATACTGAGATCTGCGAACGCTAAATACCGTTAAATCTAATTTTTCCTTCAATGAAATTAATAAAAAGACTTACCTGCGGTATATTCCACCGCGTTTCGGTGTCTGCTTGTCGTTTTACTGGCTTTTTTGGCTTTATTGCATAACACTTACTCCCTTCATGAGTAACCACAGGGAGCCCGCACAATCTGTTTGTGTAGCCGATTGTTATTTTATATAATTTTATGTATTATTTAACCATTTGGTTAACGACATCCAATAAAAAAAAGGTAATCAGCGGGACGGTTTGTGGCTGGCACGTACGGAATCTTGCTACGCATTCCTGCCGCTCGAATACTGTGGGATTTTTTTTCTTCGACGGCTAGCTCCGGGCTGTTTGGATGGATTTTTCATCGGAAGGTACGAGGAGAAACGTGAATCTTTCTACCTTTTTGCTACGGAGTTTGAAAGCGGAGCAATGCGATCTTGGGGGGAAAAAGCGCTCCGGCACTGGAGCCCTTTCAAAACATGGATTCCACCCTTGTCCTTCTATTACAAGGAACAGTCAACGGCGAAATCAAACTCCTTCAAAGTCGCTCAAAAAACCGCTTTTGAGGTAAAAGGACGACTATATACCACAGGTAAGGTAATTCAACGTTTATTTATCATTGATTTATATACATGGTTAGCGATATATCGCTATAGGTGAAGCAAACGGTAAATCCAGTACATTTACTATAAAATAACAATCGGCTACTCAAACAGATTGTGTGGCATGGGCTCCCAGTGGAGTAACAGTGGTTATAGCCTGCATAGCAGCGGTTATGCAATAAAGCCAAAAAAACAGTAAAACGACAAACACACACCGAAACACGGTGGAATATATCGCAGGTAAGTTTTTGTTTATTTATTTCATTGAAGGAAAAATTAGATTTAACGGTATTTAGCATTCGCAGATCTCAGTATTTTATTTCTCATACAAAGTTTCATATTTTCAACGTTGGCCTGTAACGCGACACCGACGCGTCTAGCAAAAAGGTCACGCGTCGCCTATGGTAAGTAAATTACGTGCTTTACACCCTTTCCTCGTAACGTGAGTTTGGGCCGCCTGTGCCTCAGGGCGCATGTCGAGGCCAACGTCGAGCTCGCAGTCCTCCCATTGTTGTCTGAGGAACTCAAAATTAGAGAGACTTTCATGGGAGCCGGTACTGGGAAATTGGACGTGAAGCTTAGAGCTGTAGTAATGAGGGGCATTATTTGCGAATGGCTTTCTGCTGGCACTTCTCGTTGTTCCCCTAGAGGTTTCGGGATTGTTTTCTGTCTTCCTTAGCCTGAGATCATGCCCTCTCCCTATTATCCCTTTATGTCTCTCACGGGAAGCGGGCATGATACATTTCTCTGTCGGATCACATGTAAAAATGCCAGAATCTGGACTTTTTTCTGATTGGATAGGAAACAATGCGGATGATTTGCGCTGTTCCGATTGGCCAAAATGACGCCATCCGTTAGTTGTTGTTGATTTCAGTCTGCATTTTTGCTTGCGTAATAAGCAGTGAATACACACGCGAGTTCGTTATGAAATTTCTGCCCGCTCACTTTTCTTGAATTTGAAGAATGCCTAAATAGAAGTTTCATCCATTGAAATATTTACCATCTCATCGTATACCAAAACAGTTGCAGTCAAAACTTCACCGATCATTTGAATGCAATTTGATACCGGCTACAAGTTACAGAAGCGACAAACGGGTTCACTTTTCAAATAATCAATTCATGAATGGAATCTTGACCTGGTTTGACTGTATTTCCTCCGTCAGAAATCATGCTGCGAATCATTCTGAGCGATCTTCGCTTTCACAACACCTTTCGGTTCGTGAAATATGGTGCTTCAGCCTAATTTTTTTTCCACTGCTTTCGGTACAGAACGAAGTCAACGAGCTTTAACCAGTAAATTCTTTATTATTTGTAGCTGTTCATAAAGCTACGACAGCTCCAGCTAGCAGTATATTTCATCACAAAAACAACACCTTTTTTTTTTTTTTTTACGAAGCGCCATCTGAACACGGACGTACTTAAAAATTTTTTTTCCCTAAAACTGATTTCAAAAGAGACATTATTCGCGCCAAAATTTGATTCCCGTTTTGTAAACGCTTATTCTCGGTTTTCACTGTCACGCAATCAAAAATAAAATTGCAAACCATTCAATACAGAAAGTCCCGAAACAAGGAAATAAAAGAAGATAAATAAGCAAAAGGCCTCGCCAAGAATCAGGTCTGTGCGATATTTCATATGCGAGATATTAGGAAAAACGTTTTACCCAAATTTACAAAGCTTTGTATGGCGACGCCATGTTTGTGTCCCTTTGCGGGGCACAAATATGGCCGCCGGAAACCAACAGAAACATCTGTTTTTGATTTTTCCTACTAATGCGTTAATTCATCGCTTGAAAAACTCATAAACTATTAAAGTGATATTTATTCTGAGACAAAGAATGTTTAGACAGCAAAATCTCCCAAAATTGGTAATGTTTTTAACCCACATAAGAGCCGTTGTGGCCGCCAGCTAAATGCCGCGTCACGCAAAAGCCTAGAAATTCAAACGTCCTCTATCGTAAAACGAAGAACCCTTTCGAACCAAAACTCTGTTTAAATAAAGGTGTTTAGGTGCTGTAATACCTCATGAAACTCAGAAACTCAGAAGAATCGATAGTTTCTTAGTTTGAATTTTGGTGACGTCATGTGAAAACCGAGAATTGGCTAAAAACATGACAGGTCAAGCAAACGTTAGATTATGTAAATTAGGGGGCGGTTGACTGCTTGTTAAATAAATGTATCAGGCGTTATTTTTTTCCCTCTCGAGCCAAAGAAGCAAAAAAAAAAAACAAAAAAAACAAAAAAAAAAAGACGCCTGATCTCAGGTTAGTCTTCCTAGACTGACCTTTGTTTTGTGCGATTCTGTGGTAGAATTCGCAGTGGCTGTTACTGAAAGAATCGCGATTTACTTCTTGACACCATGTTGTACTCCCGGGGTTGTACTCTTAGCAGTAATCATACCATTTTATGAGAGAGCAAAGGTAGTTTTGCTTGATTGACACTTAACCCACTTTAACATGTCACGCAACATGTAACACCAAATACTATACCCTTTGAAGCCACACAGACCTGTATAACCTATATAAAGAAATACCCCGGCTTTTAAGAGACCTTTAAATATTTCGGCATGAGTGCGTTTATAGGCCAAAAGCTTTAATTCAAAGATGTCTTTTTTAAATTTCAATCTCTATAGAAATGTGCAACCGCACTAGAGAACTCTTAATGTCACGCATCCGTGAAGTCCTGCAAAGACTTGGTCCTTCCAATCCAGTCATAGAAGAGGTCACGCGTCACGCGCTCTTCTGTCGTGATCACACACTCTCGTTCCAGGGTCGCGCCGATATTTTACAGGTCGTTGACAAACACCTTAGTGTTCGTAATCCCTTGAAGCCCTTAGTAATCTATGGTGAGTCAGGAGTTGGAAAGACGTCACTTATGTCCAAGATTGTCATGGAAACACAAGCAAAGAGCAAAGAGAGAAATCTCGCAGTCATGTATCGGTTTTGTGGAACAACACCAGACTCATCTACTGGTACGATAGTCATTGTATATTGCATTGGTATTGTACACAATAGAGGTATAGTCTCTCCCTGTCATATTAAAGGGTTCACGGGCAATTCTCAACCTGTTCCCCAGGGCTTTCTTCATTGATTATGATCAGTAAAACGTGTCAATTTGTCATAACTATTGGCGATGACTGGTCAAGTGTCCCTAACATGGTAATATATTGACGCTGTCTAAAATCATTCAAAAAGTTTGATAGTAGTGGTGGATAGCTTTCTCGTTCTGATTAGAACTCATCAGTAGGGCAGGGTTGGTGTTGGTACAATTATCCCACACACTTATTTAGTAGAACGTCCACCATACCTTATCATATCACGTAAGTCAGAGAGAACAAGAGCCCTTTCTCCTTTTGATGTGTTACGAAGACGCATATTATTACGAGGGCCACGGGCAACCTGAGGCTCAAAACTATAGGCAAAACCAATTTTTAAAGCAGCGTATTGGTGTCTGTGTCTGTGTGTAATTCTGTGAGTTTCTTGCCTCTTTATTGCGTAAGTCTTATTAAAGGAAGTGCAGAAGAGGTACCAGATCCGTCAGTCTGAATGTGGTTGCGTCAACCTAACTGATTATGATTCCTGACACTTTTCCAGGTAGAGCTCTTACAGAGAGTTTCTGTAAACAAATAAAACTCGTTTACAGCATCAGTGAAGAAGTCCCAGAAGATTACAAAACCTTGTGTGAGGCCTTCCCTAAATTTCTGGAACGTGCGTCGGAAGAAACGCCGCTGTGCATAGTGATCGATTCTTTAGATCAGTTAACTGATGAGGACGGCGCGAGGCGCTTCTTAGAATGGCTTCCGCGTAAGTTACCTGCGCATGTGCACATGATAATATCTACTCTGCCAGAGGAGGGTGGCTGTATGAAGCGATTAAAGACGTTTGGAATCCCCGCTGGACAGTTTTTACAGGTAAATGAAATTGACAAACAGTTGTTACGACTGTAGTGAAAGGTAAAACGTTGTACTTTCAAATAAATTAAAGTAAAAATCTGTGACTAAGAACCTGGTTTATACGAACCTGTTTGGCTAAAATTTGCCAGTTAGAGCCCCTCTATACAACAACCTGTATAGCCTTAAATTCGAAACAGGTTCTTATTTTCTAAAATTTATAAGAAAAATTCTCCATACTAAGGCAAATAAGGGAAGGCAACAGTCATGATCCTGTTTGGAGACAGGTGCCTTATACTCTAACTACAATACTAATTAAGGGTGCAAATTAGATAGGAATAAGCTGAATACCACTTAACATTCTTCAGAAAACAAGAACCTATTTAAGAACCTAAATAGCCTAAATTTGGGCTAATTACCATTTACGTAAGAACCTGTTTAAGTTAACTTGGGAAAATACAGGTTCTTAGTTGCGGGTTTTTACTGTATGAAACTGTCGGTTTTTTATCAGTAAGACTTGGTGGGTTAAACCATTTTTTGTCAGCCCCGTTGACGTATCTTGTTATTTATACTCTTGTTTAAGACCATTTCATTCTTAAAATCCTGGCCTGGTTGCATTATCGTTACCTTTTTCCACCTCTCATTGTCTCTGTTTTTTTTTTTTTTTTATGAGAGGCGCACAGGGCGAAGTCCTTTAAGACTACAGTTTGTAAGAAACAAAATTTTCTAATAAACTGATATTTATTTGACACCGGACAATGTTTTTATCCATAAAGTACCGATTGTATTATAATCATGGTGAATTTAGGTGGCACGTCTCGACAAGCATGATGGACCTGTCATTCTAGACGCATGGCTTCAAGCAGTCAACAGGACGCTGACCCCCAAACAGCGGGCGCTTGTCTTAGAAGCATTCGATAAATGTCCACTACCTCTGTATTTACACCTCCTCTTTAACAAGTGTCGATCGTGGCCTTCTTACAAGTAAGAACTTCTCAATCAAGTCACGGATATCAGTTTTAATGCGTTGAAATTCTTTTTTTGTTCCTCTTCTCTCTCCTCTTTAGCCCCGTGTAAGAGAATCCAAGAAAGTATTGGATTCTGGATTCCACGCCGTAGATCCAGGATCCTAAGTACTGCATTCGATATCTTTTTCAGTGGAACTTGGATTCCGGATTCCAAGCATTGGTGGGATCCCGGATTCCTTAAGCTGTATTCCGGATTAATTCACAAGAAGAAATACGAAAAAAGAACAAAGAAGAAACTTGACTGTGACAAAATCACCTACTTGCTTATATTATTCTAACACTTAAGCTTTTATTTAAACTAGCTACTCGATAAAGCAGATGAAATGAATCTTGCAGTGAACATAAATTGGTACCACGTGAAGGGGAACATCAAACTACTACTATTCATCAGGTCTAGCTTGTTTTTACTTTTAAAACACTCCAGAGACTATGACAATATACGTTTGCATTAATTTTTGTATTATTTTTTATTTTTTTGGACCAATTGATCAAAGCACCATAAACACAGATTGCAACTCAAATTTGAAGAAATCAGATAAGAGAAACAAGCTTTATACAAACAAATCGAAAAAGAAAACAATACTGTACCGTGTAGACTGTTCACAGTCCCCTATTTTCCCATAAGATCGTCGAGATCGATGGCAATCCGTTGTGGGTTGCCATCTTGGATGAGTGTCATGAAAATCAAGATGTCACCATTAACGGTAACACGCGCTATATCACGACGATCTCAAGGAAAAATAGGGGACTGTAAACAGTCTATGTCCTGTGAAACTAATCAAATATGTTCATCAAATCACGCTTTTTAATGTAAAAATCGAAAAATTTGTGGGTAGCAATCTTTCGCATTTCCGGTATCTGGCATGACCATTTCAGGTACTTTTTAGGTGTCCAGGTCCGCTTAATAGACGTGTCCGCTTAACAAAGGTTTCATCATTTTAAAGTAAATAAGGGAAATAAATTTGGGGACTTCGGCTACTGTCCGCTTAATACGGTGTCCGTTTAATACAGGTTTCACTGTAATAGTGACCTTACGCAACAGGACGGGAGAGGGAAGAAGACGGCAAACCATGTGTGACAACAACTTTTTGCCAAACTTCAATATCCTTTCAAAAGATCTTTTTGCAAAAGATCAGAAAACATTAATGTTAAATGAAGATCACGACAAAACGCGTAAGAATTAGCCCTGTCACGTTTTTTCACACACGAGCGTTTTGCCGTCCTCCTCTTCCTGCCGTCCGGTTGCGTAAACTCACTAGTAATAGTAGACTGAGAGACGACTGGGGACAAGTAAGAAACTGCTGGGAAGCTTATCTTACATTTGTTATAATTCCAGAGACACCACGGATATCATTCTTAAAGCTGGCGTAATTGGGATGATAGACTCTCTATATGAAGACCTTGAAAAGTACCACGGCAAAATGCTTGTGTCAAGAGTCCTGAGTCTGCTTGCTTCTGAGACGAATGGGATGAATTCGGAAGATATTATCAACATACTGAGCTGTGACGAAGAACTTCTCAAAGACGTGTTAGTTTGGCACGAGCCACCGAAGCGCCGCTTACCACCCCTGCTGTTGGCTCGTCTGAAACACGACTTGGGTCCTTTCTTAGTAGAAAGGGGAGCCTTTGGAGTGTCACTGCTGGCACTATTTCACAGGTATTGCTGTGTCTTATGTACTAGGACTACTGAAAGGAATAATGCCCATTTACGACCCAAGTTTTGAACTTTCATCAATAATTACCTTTTGTCAAATGTCAGGGCCAATACTAGGGCCATAAGGTTGATTAACTAAAACGAAATTTTTCGGAATACCGAATTTTAGGGCTACAAATCACAGGTATTGCTGTTCCTTACATACCCTTGGAGTGAAAAGGAAAATGACCTGTAATCACCTTAGTTCTCACCTTTTATCGTTGTTGGAAAGATTGTTTGAACAATTTTTTGATAAATAACTATTCTTTGTCAAATGCAAGTGCTAAAACTGGAGCATAGAGGTCAATCAACTAAAACTTAAGTTGTTTAGCAATATCAAATTTTACTAGCTGCAAATGCGTCCAAATAAAAAGTCTTAAAAGTTTGACCGACCTGATCAAATTAGGTTCGGATCGAAAATATGTGGCAATATAAACGCCTACATTGATAATCGTTTTCAATATCGCATCATGAAATATTAGGTGTTCCTTTGAAAGTTTTGCAGTCGTTTTAAACACCTTTTAATTGATCATCTGTTTGTAGACAGTTCGTAGAGGTCGCAAGAGAAAAGTATTTAAAAGAGAATCGCAAAGAAATTCACAGGAGCATCGCTGATTACTTTTCTGGAGACCTTCACAAGAAATATGGCAACGAACGTACCATCCCTGCCCAGCCTCACGCATACTCCACGGTCGCTCTAAACCTGAGAAAACTGGACAGACTACCAGTTGCTTTGCTTGAGACACGTGACTCTGAAAGGCTGCGAAGTACTCTGGGAGATTTGAAATTTGTTCAAGCTAAGTGCATGGCAGGAATGGGATATGAGCTTCTGGCAGAGGCTACCAGAGCTGTGAGTTGTGCGGTTGATGAACACGCTGACAATGAGGTGGGCCGCTTAGATAAACTTTGCGAATATTTTCACGAGCGATAGTCACTTTGCTATTTATCGCGACTTTAAGACCGCTGATTGGTCATATTCATCAGGGGATGGTGTTAAAATACTGAGTGGGACCTCTGACTGAAACCATAAGGGGTATCATGGGCAATGTTAATAAGTAAATTAACAGTGTAGTTTCTTTGTGATTGTTGCATTGCGGACCTCGTCATCACTCATCATGGTTTGTGAGTTAGTGTGTGAAACTGTTCTCTCAGCGGTCCATCGTTAGTACGGCCGGATCAGCTTCTGTGTAGTCTGATTAACGATATCACGTTGGAACCCAATTCCTCTGCCTCTGCGAAAGGGATAGAAAAGGTAGTTTCCTTATAGTAAGACACCTGACAAATTGGTTTGTTGTGCAGCGCTTTGTTGTTGTTGTTTTTTTAATGGAAATAGAAGCTTTGTTCCTGTACATACTTCTAAAAGATTTTGTTTACAGATCATTGAAGATCTCCAAGACATCTTGGGATTTCTGCGAAGTGAAATCCACATTTTAACCAGGACACCAATCCTGACGTACCAACAAGCTGCAACATATCCCCAACACCAATGGGTTGCACAACAAGCCCAGCGCATGCGCCAAACGTTTGACCAGCCAGACCCTGACAACATCCCCACACCAGAGGGGTGGGTCGAGTGGATGAACAAGCCTCAAGTTCCAGAAGCCTTTGAGCTTGAACTCAGTGGTCACTCAAAAAGCGTTCTTTCAACGTGCTTTGCAAAAGACAACAGGGCGTTGTTGTCTGGGTCAACCGATGGGACCATCCGTGTTTGGGACAGTCAAACAGGCGAGTTGCACGCCCAGCTTGAGGATCATCAAGGACCTGTAACATGTGTGAGACTGTCGCCAGATGGCAACGTGATGGCCTCAGCTTCTGCTGATAAGACCATTCGACTATGGAGATTTCCAGCCAATGAGTGTTTCAAGTTAGTATTATGCAAATCAGTCAGTTTTCTACCTTTTCTGGCTTCCCTCATATAGGCATTAACTCACTGTTGACTATTATAATAATAGTATTAAAATTTTATATACAGAAGAAAATAGATTTAATGCACCTTCTAGCGCCCCTGTTTTGATGCTTTGTCTTTCTCGCCTAGGACACCGAAGAAGACTAGCAGAGATTAGAGAACCGGGTCATGCCAGTAGTATATAAAAAAAACGCGTCAGTGATTCACAAGGTCAAAAACTGTGAACAGGCTAGAACCTCGAGGTGTTTGATGACATGAGGAATATTTTGTGGAACGTTTGATATTTCTTCTCAAACAAAAAAAATTACAGTGAGAAAGTTACTCTGCAAAAATGAGGAGTCTTTCATCTGATTTCCACACGGCACTAAAATACTTTGATTTTCTTTCAACTTCGTGGTTGTCACTTGGTTGTACAAACGTACTTATCAATTGTAATTTCTGGTGAATGTTTTAAGGATCATCGAGGGACATGAAGATCGAGTGACATGCATTTCCTTTTGGAAAGACGGAGACAAGCTTCTGTCTGCTTCCAAAGACAAGAGCCTCAAAATATGGGATGTAAACACTGGAGAGAACCTAGGAACGCTCCTGGGCCACAAAAGCTTCCCAATGTCGTGCGCTTGGTCTCCGCTGGATGAATCAGTTGCTGCTTCATGTGGAGATCAACTGGAGCTCTTCATATGGGACCTCAGAAACATGTCCATCAAACGGACCTTGCAGGGACACCAGCGAGACGATAACCCAAATTTCCCCATTAAAGACTCTTTAGAGGGGCACCAAGAACTCGACTACAAATCACTTATTTGGTCGGTATGCTTCTCTCCTGATGGAAAGTACCTCGCTTCCGCGTGCGTCGATAGTGACGTCATCTTGTGGGATGTAACGACAGGGGTGAGGATTTATACTTTTAATCTCCCAAATGACGCCTCGACGGTCGCTTTCGTCCAAACCGATCACGGCACGCGGTTAGCTGCAGGATCTTCGGCCCATCATACTGTCACTCTGTTTGATGCAACATTTGATGACACAAGTGATAAAGGCGTCAGCAGCAGTTCCAGGACCCTAGCTTTGCTGGGTGGCCACTCCGACTGGGTGCTGGATGTCGCGTTTAATGGTGATGGGACTCGGCTAGCGTCGGCGGCTCGCGACAAAACTGTTCGTGTCTGGGACGCAACGGCAGCGGAAAAGTTACGGAAGGCACGTTTCCATTCTGAACGCTGTTGGAGCGTCGCGTACTCTGATGACGGGAGATGGTTGGCTTCTGCCTCCGATGACTTTAAGGTAAGAGTTAGTAGTTGTCTCGGCAACCTCCATCTTGAATAAAAGTAGCTCAATTCTTTTCAAATGCATCCTTACTAGAGGGTATTTTAGTGAAGCATTATCAATCTTTCTGGCTGCATTCTAGAGTAGTCGTTCTTATAAACCCATTAGCAAACTCATTTCGCCCTAAATTAACAGAGCGCCTGTAAGGGCGTTATCCGAGAGGATTAAAATTTTATCCTGAGTTTCGGTCTACTATCTTATTGACCGTTTTGAACTGTCAGTTTCAATTAACAAGGTTGGAACTCAGGGTAAAAACTACACAAAATCTATTGACTGCAGCTCTAGATGAAGAATTTAGTTAAACATTTAGCTTATCCCTGAGAGTATATAGTTAATTATCTTTCTAGTAATTCAGGCTTGGTCCGAGAAGAATAGATCATACTCAGTCTATCTGCGATGGTAGGCTGGGTCTGACTATAGCTTACAGACGCCGAGTCGGAAGTTGGATAATCGGTTCAAATGTAACTGATATTCCTTATTCCTTGAATAATATTTCTTACTCGAGCCTTGCAGACCTCAAGCCATTATAGTAGTTTTAGGCCGACAATACAAATATGTTACTTTCCATAGTCCAGGTCGTCACGAAATCTTTATAGTTACTGGGTATTGGGAACTGTGTCATTTGTCCCAAGGGAATTTTCGCTGAAAAGGAGAACTTTCAATTCCATTCAGGAATATACTGATTTAGCTGGACAGTCCTAATTAATAGTATAAACCTCGTTGTGACTGCACCGATCTGGCCTGCTATTTTCGACTATACTAGTCTTACTAAATAGCCCTTAGACTCGCGCTTCTTAAGCCTATTTGACAAAGGGACTACTCGGAACTTCGTTACTTCTCTTATGCGTTGACTTTACTCTGCAGGTTTGCGTCTGGAACATGGAGACCCACGAGGTTTCACTGATCTATGAGGGGCACGAACAGAAGAGAACGTTTTCTTGTGGAGTGCGGGCCTGTACGTTTTCAAGGGACTCAACCGAGGTGGCCAGCGGTGGGGACGAGCTCAAAATTCGTATTTGGTCACGAGAAACTGGTGAGGACAACATCGTTCTGCACTGTGGCGAGTCCATGCTGCCTTGGTGCCTACGATTTTCTTTGGATGACAAGTGGTTGATCTCTGTGGGTGAGTTTACCAATGGCGCCATTGTTTGGGATTTAGAAACGCAAAGCAAGATTACGATTTTGGGAGGTCATGACCGCTTCTGCCAGTACACTGAATTCTCGCCTTTAGGGAACTTCATCTTGACCAGTTCCATAGACAACTCAGCTAGAATATGGAACAGCGGTAGCCTCGAGCACGTGACTACAGTCACACAACCTGACTGGGTGACCTGTGCCACGTTTTCTCACAACGAGAAGCTGTTAGCCACGTGTTCAAAGGACGGGTTTGTTTGCCTGTGGGAAACCACTACATGGCAGGTGCTCTGTATATTAGCAGGACACGAATCTGAGATAAGGATGGTCAGTTTTTCACGCGATGATAAGCTCCTAGCGAGTGGGGCTTTGGATCAAACCATTCGCATTTGGGATTGCAATACTCATCGCCAGGTTCAAGTGTTCTACGCGGCCTCTGGAATCTGGGGGTTGGCATGGCACCCAGACCGGTGCGATTTGCTAACAGCTGGTGATGCTGTGGGGTATCTGTACTTCTTGAAACTTCACAATCGAGACAAGGCAGAAAAAGAGGTTATTAAGTCGTAAAATGTGGTCACTGATGACCATGTGCGTTGGTTCCAGACTGTGCTATTTACTTACATTAACATATTGAACAGCTTCTACGATTTGGAATTCTGTGCCAATGTAAATAGTATAACTGGTCAATTTGTGGCTCTCTGTCGAGGGTTTTAGTAAACAGTGAAAAAACTCTAAAGAGGTTATTAAGGAATGAAATGTTGTCAAAGATGAACAGGAAATAACAAATACTACCTTGGCATTGGTTTCAGACAACTACGTTATATTTTGAACATCAAAAACGACAGGGGTGAGGATTTATACTTTTAATCTCCCAAATGACGCCTCGACGGTCGCTTTCGTCCAAACCGATCACGGCACGCGGTTAGCTGCAGGATCTTCGGCCCATCATACTGTCACTCTGTTTGATGCAACATTTGATGACACAAGTGATAAAGGCGTCAGCAGCAGTTCCAGGACCCTAGCTTTGCTGGGTGGCCACTCCGACTGGGTGCTGGATGTCGCGTTTAATGGTGATGGGACTCGGCTAGCGTCGGCGGCTCGCGACAAAACTGTTCGTGTCTGGGACGCAACGGCAGCGGAAAAGTTACGGAAGGCACGTTTCCATTCTGAACGCTGTTGGAGCGTCGCGTACTCTGATGACGGGAGATGGTTGGCTTCTGCCTCCGATGACTTTAAGGTAAGAGTTAGTAGTTGTCTCGGCAACCTCCATCTTGAATAAAAGTAGCTCAATTCTTTTCAAATGCATCCTTACTAGAGGGTATTTTAGTGAAGCATTATCAATCTTTCTGGCTGCATTCTAGAGTAGTCGTTCTTATAAACCCATTAGCAAACTCATTTCGCCCTAAATTAACAGAGCGCCTGTAAGGGCGTTATCCGAGAGGATTAAAATTTTATCCTGAGTTTCGGTCTACTATCTTATTGACCGTTTTGAACTGTCAGTTTCAATTAACAAGGTTGGAACTCAGGGTAAAAACTACACAAAATCTATTGACTGCAGCTCTAGATGAAGAATTTAGTTAAACATTTAGCTTATCCCTGAGAGTATATAGTTAATTATCTTTCTAGTAATTCAGGCTTGGTCCGAGAAGAATAGATCATACTCAGTCTATCTGCGATGGTAGGCTGGGTCTGACTATAGCTTACAGACGCCGAGTCGGAAGTTGGATAATCGGTTCAAATGTAACTGATATTCCTTATTCCTTGAATAATATTTCTTACTCGAGCCTTGCAGACCTCAAGCCATTATAGTAGTTTTTAGGCCGACAATACAAATATGTTACTTTCCATAGTCCAGGTCGTCACGAAATCTTTATAGTTACTGGGTATTGGGAACTGTGTCATTTGTCCCAAGGGAATTTTCGCTGAAAAGGAGAACTTTCAATTCCATTCAGGAATATACTGATTTAGCTGGACAGTCCTAATTAATAGTATAAACCTCGTTGTGACTGCACCGATCTGGCCTGCTATTTTCGACTATACTAGTCTTACTAAATAGCCCTTAGACTCGCCCTTCTTAAGCCTATTTGACAAAGGGACTACTCGGAACTTCGTTACTTCTCTTATACGTTGACTTTACTCTGCAGGTTTGCGTGTGGAACATGGAGACCCACGAGGTTTCACTGATCTATGAGGGGCACGAACAGAAGAGAACGTTTTCTTGTGGAGTGCGGGCCTGTACGTTTTCAAGGGACTCAACCGAGGTGGCCAGCGGTGGGGACGAGCTCAAAATTCGTATTTGGTCACGAGAAACTGGTAAGGACAACATCGTTCTGCACTGTGGCGAGTCCATGCTGCCTTGGTGCCTACGATTTTCTTTTTGATGACAAGTGGTTGATCTCTGTGGGTGAGTTTACCAATGGCGCCATTGTTTGGGATTTAGAAACGCAAAGCAAGATTACGATTTTGGGAGGTCATGACCGCTTCTGCCAGTACACTGAATTCTCGCCTTTAGGGAACTTCATCTTGACCAGTTCCATAGACAACTCAGCTAGAATATGGAACAGCGGTAGCCTCGAGCACGTGACTACAGTCACACAACCTGACTGGGTGACCTGTGCCACGTTTTCTCACAACGAGAAGCTGTTAGCCACGTGTTCAAAGGACGGGTTTGTTTGCCTGTGGGAAACCACTACATGGCAGGTGCTCTGTATATTAGCAGGACACGAATCTGAGATAAGGATGGTCAGTTTTTTCACGCGATGATAAGCTCCCTAGCGAGTGGGGCTTTGGATCAAACCATTCGCATTTGGGATTGCAATACTCATCGCCAGGTTCAAGTGTTCTACGCGGCCTCTGGAATCTGGGGGTTGGCATGGCACCCAGACCGGTGCGATTTGCTAACAGCTGGTGATGCTGTGGGGTATCTGTACTTCTTGAAACTTCACAATCGAGACAAGGCAGAAAAAGAGGTTATTAAGTCGTAAAATGTGGTCACTGATGACCATGTGCGTTGGTTCCAGACTGTGCTATTTACTTACATTAACATATTGAACAGCTTCTACGATTTGGAATTCTGTGCCAATGTAAATAGTATAACTGGTCAATTTGTGGCTCTCTGTCGAGGGTTTTAGTAAACAGTGAAAAAACTCTAAAGAGGTTATTAAGGAATGAAATGTTGTCAAAGATGAACAGGAAATAACAAATACTACCTTGGCATTGGTTTCAGACAACTACGTTATATTTTGAACATCTTCTACGAGCAAACAATAGTTTTAAAGGTAACTGGTCTATAAGTTTCCTCTGTTTTCGTAATCAACAGAGAATAATTCAAGCCCTGAAGATCCTTTGTGATCTTGTATCTTCTTGTAAAAGAAAATTTAAGAAATTGGTAAACATTGCTTAACCAATTTTTCTTTTCATGTCCAGTGGCGGATCCAGACCTCCAGATAAGGGGGGCCCGGTCATTCAGACCCTTAGATAAAGAGGGGGGGTCCCCAAATTTTTTTTTCGGCCCTTCGGGCATCAGTTTGGTGTAAAAATAAGGGGGAGGGGCGGGGCCCCCGGGCCCTTCTCCTGGATCCGCCACTGATGTCATGTTTAATGTTATAGGAAAAAGAGGCAAAGAGTAGAAGTGATGATCTAACAAAGCATTCTGCAGGAGCCCATGCATTCTGCTATTTTGAAATGTAAGGATCCGTAGTGGGCCCATTTCAAAGTTTCAAAGTTGACCCGAGCCCTCAGCTATATTCAAAATGAGGGTACTCTTTGATATGAAAATAATTTTGATAGTTGTCACTCAAATTAAACTAATGTTCACATAAGAGGTTTGCAATGGGCCTTGTTCGAAAAATGAGCTCTTACCGAACTCCGAAATTGCCTAGTATTTTAGCACCCGTTGCCTATTTTCAAAAGATACGTTTCTGTAGACAACGTAGTTCTTTGTAAATGAGGCGTGTCACTAGTTTGTCATTTGTTTCAGAGAAATGTTAAGACATTATTATGCTTTTCCAAAGAGGCCTCTGGCTTTTCGTTTTTTATAAGACCTTAGGTCGAGCAGTAAAGATTTGGGCCAGCTTTGTTGCTATATTCCCCTTTAGTTTTTTCGTAACAAAAACATTCCTTCTCATAAATTCTTTATTACGTTTTTGATTTACTGTGAAAATTAATAAATAAATATATATACTATGTTTCATTAAGCCTATAAAGAACTGTGAAATGCAAAATGCATAGAACAACTAATGAAAATTTAAGGCACCATTTTGGAGAATCACTGCTATGAATGAGATGTTTTTTTTTTTTTTTTTGTTTAGTGAATTTTTGCATTAAGCCTACGCGGAGTCTACGGGTCTCCCCTCACTCACTTGACACCCCCTCCCTTCCCCACCCCTATCCCTCCATCCTCGAAATCATCTAGTTGTTGTCAAAACATTTGATTTAGAGGTATAAGAGCAATTAAAAAGGACTGAGGCAGTTATCCTTTTATGTAAAGTTTTCGTTATACAAAAACAAGTAAAAAATAAGGCTGATAAAATCAAACGACGTTTCGGTGTCATGCTGACGCCATTTTCAAAGGAGACAAGAAAAAGTATCCTGATCAACATGAAAAAGTATCTGGTGTAGAAAATTATCGAGGCTAAATTTCCGTTATATAAGTGTTTTATGATTTAGCCAAATTCTCGCACGCGTGGATACACCTATTTTTTTTGTTAGCTTAGGTTTTGTATTGTTTCTTCTCTTGGAACATGGCCAGGTGTTTCTACGCTGGATTTCCTTACAACGGGCGAAGAAACAGAATTTAGTCGAAAGAGCTTATCTTTTAGTTCTGTAGAACAGCTGATAAAATAGGCCATTTCCTAGTTCCAAACCTCTCGCCTTCAAAACGAGGCTAAGTGCCAAAACTTTCTTGTGAAAAAGGATCTTATTTACACGAAAATGCACTTAGCCTCGTTTTAACACAGAGGCTCGGAGCAACTCGGAAATGGTCTATTGCAGATATTTAGACCTCCCCAACCCTCACAAGACTGCCTACAAGTTTTACCGGAAGTAGACAGTAAAAATTCTTGCAACAGATTGCGTATCACGTTTGATTCTTAGAAATAGTTTTTACTCGAATATAGTGAACAATCAAGTGAAGCCAACTGTTTAACAAACGGCGAGACCTTTTAAAAGTACTTTAAATCATTTTAAGCCTGACTAAGACTTAATGTTAGTTCATTTCAATAAGAACTATTAAAACTTGTGTGTTTTCCTCTTTGGAAGCTTTAATTTTTCTTGTTTTCATGCTTGTCTGCGGCGGAGTGAGCACGCGGAGGGAAGTCTCCTTCTCCAACTTCTCCGCCATGTTTTTTGGCCTAGGTGCTCTGAATACGCGACGCACCCTCTTTAGTTATCGGTTTATTCGGTTCTGTTCCAGACTTCTGATTTTCTTGCGGGTCCGGCATTTCTGTTTATGAAAATTGTTCTATATGGGATATAAACAAAACTATTACCGTAAAATGACAATGAACGGATCTTATTTTTCATTCAAAATATTTCCCAGATTCTGATTGGCTAAAAGTACATGCAAAATTCACCATAACCAGTTACTGATGACCAAATTTGGAAGAATTTTGTGTTTAACGAGGAAATGATGTCAAAAATGCAGCGTTCTTGCAGGTTAATTAACCGTCAACCGAGAAGACCTGGGACGAGGTTGAGTTATTTTGGTTGTGAAAACAAAAAATGGCGGACATTTCACTCGTTTCAAGAGTAAGAACTA